GCGGGACAAAACCCAGATTAGACTTCTTACCACGTACCCCTGACAGAGGAATGGGAAGAAGGAGCAAGGTACTGGTCCCGGGAATGCCCCAGTGGGCGAGACAGCCCCATATCAGCCCCTCCCACATCACCTCCGGGAAGCCCTCCCGGCCCAGAGCCCGGCCTTCCTCAACTCAGAGATGCACGAAGCGGGGAGGCGGGGGCGGGGAAGGGGAGTCTGGAGGTTGTGTGTTCGGCACAAGGGGGAGGGTCTGCACGATCTATTTCTGTTCCCATAGCCCCCTCCTCGTTCCCCTCCGCGAATCCGGTCCCACCGGTGCCTGCTTCCAGGTCATGAGAACAGGAAAAACGGAGAGAAGGCTGAGGAGGGAGCTTGGAATTAGGGCTAAGGAGGAATCAGGGGCTAGGGGGCAACTGTCGGTGACCTCTCAAGGTCCCTCTTCTTGGCCGCCGGCCCCTCCCCCATCCGCAGGTGGGCGCACCCAGTCGGGTGACGTCACCCCAACCTGGGCCGGCCGGGGAGGGGCCGGCGAAGATGAGGATAAGGTTGAGGGGCGAGAGGCAGGGGTGCGGGAGAGGGCATGAGGGACGCAGGTCGAGGTGGGATCCGGGGCCGCAGCCTGGGTAGGGCTACTCACCCAGGACGCGACCCGCAGCAGGGTCTGGGGTCGCCGGGCGAAACTCACGGGGTCCAGGGCGGCCCCCGCGCGGCCTGCGCCAAACGAGGCGCCCTCCATGGCCGGCCCGGGCGGGACGCGCGCCCCGGCGCCCTGTGTCCGTCTGTCCAATCCACCGGCCCTGCCCGAGGCCGCCGGGGTCTGCTGCAGCTGCGAGTGGTAGGGATGCTGCAGCTGCCTCCGTCGCCTGCCCGGAGCGCGCATCGGGGGCGCGCGGGGCGGGGCCGAACCAGCGCGCCCCCCCCTCCACCGCCCGGGTCCAAGCGCGCGGACAAGAGCTCGCATCTGCCTCCACCACACCCACCTCCTCCCCCCTTCCGCCCTCCCCTGCGTGATCCGGTCCCGAGACTCCGATCATCCTCGTAAGGGCACCAGGTACCCAGGGCACAGGGAGCAGAAACTGGGCTCAAATTCTCCCTCAGGGAGAGGGAACCAGGCACCTTGGCCCTGGTCCCAGGAAAACCCAAAGAAGGTAACTGGAAGCCTTTCCCAGTGGCCCCCCACCTCACTTCAGCTGGTTCTTCAGAAGGTTCTAGCCTTCCTAGCAGGAAGGGTCTTGGTGGTTAGAATGGCCCATGCTCCCAGAAGCATTTATTGAGGTGACAAAGCTCACAGCAGCCAGCACGGGAGTGTTGAGACATCTGTGTTCCTTTCCTGTGGCCAGTTGGCTTCTGGGTCTCCCCACCTGACTTGTGGCTGGTGTATTCGGGATGAAGTTGACCGAGGTGAAAAGCCTCTTCTCCTATAAGCCCCCTACCCTGGGTGACTCTAGATCTCTCCACCCCATCTTCCAGGCCAGCCTGGCAAGAGTTCTGATGACTTCTGTGTTCAGAGCACTGATGAGAAAAGTCTGCATTTATCACCTGCATTTATGGAGCATTTACAGCGCCAACTGCTATATCTTCTGAAGTAGGAACTGTTCTTTTAATATACTTAACTCCCTATTCTTCAGATGATCAAATAGGCAGGCCAGTTGAGTTCTTCCATCACAGAAAGTGAAGAGCTGGAATTCATACCCAGGTCCCTGCTGTATCAACCATGTGGACAGATGTTGATCCCTACCCAGCCCCCTGGGTAACCCACTGGTTCTGGACTGAAACTCTTCCCTCAGCACAGCTAGGCCCAAGGTGGTAGGGCAGGTGTTGCCAGGGGTGCTGCCCAGCATGTTTCATCCAGTCCCACCCCCTGTGTGACCATTTCCCACTTTCATGTGATTATTCCTATCAGCACCCTAACATGATGCTTTTAGAAAAAAACCCAAATACCCTTCTTAACCCCATTTCTCCTCTAGCTAGCTGCCCTACATCACTGTTCCTTGTAGCAGCAAACTCTGTTCTACTCTGCTTCCAATACCTCTTCCCATCTCTACCCCAAAACCCAGGATGACCAACCTCCCACCACTCCACCTCAACACAAGGTTGCCAGTGACCTGCACCTGCCAATTCCAGGGGCAAGTTTCAGATGCTGCTAGTCCCTCCCTGATAGAATTCTAAGGTTATCCTTGTGTTTCTTATAGACCCCCCTTTTTTTTTTTGAAAAAGCTAAGAGATTTATTTGAATGTTTCTCCTCTCATACATTTTATTTTCAGATGGCCTCATATAATCAGTAACAAAGCTTCTCAGTAACAGGTCAAATTGATTTCTGATCAGGAAATCAGGGACCCCTTCTTGTCAGCCCTTTTGAGGTCCCTCCTTTTGCCCAGTCTGTGACCTGTTAGGGGGCCCAATGTGTGATCCTGCAGTCTCTTCCTCCCTTTAAACTGGCTCCCTTGCTCTACCTTTCAATAGCTCTCAAGTGCCAGCTTGAGGTAGAACCTACCCTTGCACAGGAGTTCTACTAGTATTGGCCTGGAAGACAGACTCTAAGGTAAAGTGAAGTTTTATTGGAGGTAGAGGTGAACTTTTTTTTTTAGAGACAGAGTCTCACTTTATGACCTTTGGTAGAGTACTGTGGTATCACAGCTCACAGCAACCTCCAACTCCTGGGCTTAGGCGATTCTCTTGCCTCAGCCTCCCAAGTAGCTGGGACTA